TGACGGACCAAGGCCACCTTCGCTGGATTTGGCAATCTGAAACAGATGGACACGAATTTTCACCAAGGGTTTCATTAGAGACTTACTCTAGCCTCCCCTCCCTCACAAATTTATGCTCATTAAAGAGCCACAGATTATTGCTGGTAGAACCAAGCTGATACAACGAACAAACAATAACCACTCAAGTCTACCCAAGAGTTTATCTACCTTGATCTCACTGCAGTAGTTTTAGAACATGCCCAAACATACCGCTGATTTACTCGTGAATGTCTCCGTAATGAGCTCTGTTTCTTCACCCTCCGCATTTCTCAGGCGACAGTCTTTAATTACATGGTCTTGCAGAAGCTGCTGAATGACATCAGGGTGGGTACTTTCCACAAAATACCTAAAATTAAAGAACAAAGAAAAACATTTTTATGAACTAATCAATTGAATAACTCATAGGAAGAGTGGCAAAGATGCTTAAATACACAGCTTTCCCAGATGCACTCTTAAGCATCCAATCTTGGCGTGCTAATTTAAGAACAGAGGCATTATGGTAACTAAAATTTTTTTAAAGATGCCTCATACCAAAAGCATCATGTACTTTGCAGCTATCCATCTTGCTCAAACGTTCTCTAATATAAGTGGGAAAACTCCAGCAGAATTACCCAGAGCTCTCACGTGTCTTATTTGTGACTCTGACACAAGCCAATTTTTTTGACACTGAACTAAGTTTGTGAAAACACTGGATGTGATGTTTTAAAGTCCTGTTTACAGCACCAAAAAAGTCCAAAAGACAAAAATTCAAAACTTCCAAAACACAAACCACCAAAAAGTTTAAAACTAGTGCATCCTGGAGAATCATCACTAATGACGCTGGTTTGAGATCATAGTTAAAATATGAGCCAAGAGAAACTTAAGTGGCACGAGAGAAATCTTTTTCTCAGAAATGAAAAAGCTTCCCAGTAATACCAGTGCTAGTTCTACCCAAAGCAGCAGGTTCAAAAAAGCAGCAGCACAAGCAGAGCATTAGATTATAGTCCCGAGGTTTATTCATGGCTGTCAGACCACAGAGAACTTGGGAAAAGAAATAAAAGGTGAAAGAGGAAACACTGGCAAGACACAGACATGGGTTTCAGGTTCCTGCTGTCTCCTTCCTTTCCCTCCCTATTGCAGAACCACAGGTTTAGATACATGAGCTGACCTCTCGAGGTCTCTTCCAGCACTGTCCTCTAGGTTTAAAACAAATCAGATTCAACCCAGTCACAAGCACCCACCTCTTGCCAGTGAATTTGCTTATCCTTCCTGAGTAACGGATTAAAAGTCAGAATACACAAGACTGCAGGACAGCTGTGAAAAACTTGTCTAACCAGGCTCACGTAAATTAGGAAGGAAAGAATGAAACAACGATCTGAAAACCTCAAGGACATATTGCAAGTCCAAGCAACGAAGAAACAAGATAGAATATCAAATTTGCAGCCTACTTAAAAAAATGTAACAATAACCAGCACCAGCTCAGGACACCCAAACTGAATTTGTTGGCTAATGTATTAAATACTTCCAGCAGCTGTAAAAGTGGTCCTGTAAGGAGAGCTGCTACACTCATCTGGGAGCTGTGAGACTCAAGAGCTACTCAAGAGCACTCACTCACGCACTGGTCTGTGTTTGGAGGGCTTCCTCTGGCACAAGAGTTATGGTAGAAGCCACTTACCTGTTATGTTTCAGAACCAGCTTCACCTTCCCATAGCTGACAGTACACAGCTACAAACAAACACAGCAGTCATTAGGAACACGCAAAAGAGCAATTCCACGTTTGGGACCAAATGCTGCAATGGGTTTAGGGCTTTGTGGGGAAGCATACTACCACAAAACATTTACTTGCAATGCTGTTCTGACTATGGAACAAACTGAAAAGGTATTTTCAGAAGACACTCACATCATCTCATGCAGGAAATCAGTCACAGGTACTCAGTTTTTATACCTAATTCCAATCGGATACCAAGACTTCAAGAACATAGTTGCAGGATAAGGCAGGCTATGTCTTATAGTGCCCAGCTATTCTAGACTGCTTCCCACAATCATAATCTTCCTCTAGAGCAAATCTGAGGAAGCTCCCCCACGTACAATTCTAACTGGCTGAAAGTATCTACACAGACACTTGGTTGTATTTTTTTGTAAAAAGGTATAAACCCCACACAGGATATATTATAGAAATAGTGTATATGCAACAATATACTATAGAGAAGACAAAAGATAAAATAATGATCTCTTGAAACTGTGACAGAATAAAACTTAAAAACAACGAATAATTAAAAAATAATAAATCAATTAGGCAGAGGCAGAAGGAAAGGATTTCATTACTACCAACGGATGTATTTCCAATGCCAATAAAATAGCCTTACCTTGATAAACTGAATTATTCCATCCGGGACACCAGTCTTGCTCAGTTTTTGCAAATACTCGGTGATATCACTTGTCTGTAAACCGACACTGACTGCAGCATACAGAGAGTAAGCAGTCAGCTTGTACTCGTGAATGTGGGTAGGTCTGCACACGGGCTCAGCAATGGCAACCAGAAAGTCCTGTGCATATTTGTAAACTGGAGAAAACGCTTCCAGAAAAATATGGCCATCGGGAGCCTGCAGAAATAATAAGAAATGCTCAGGGCACAGCAGTACTGGTTGAATGAATCAGGGATTTATGACATAGTAACAATTTGCTATTTAGGTGGTACAACACTACTGAGTTTCAAAAAAAGGGTTTGCCTTAATGAATTTACAAGAAGACAGGAGATGCAGAAACATATACCTTTTGTCTTCTGAAAGGGTCTAGACGTTGATTTGCCCATGTCCCTTCCATGGTACTAAGAATAAACCACACCCAGATTGATAAAGCTTTTCCCAGCTGACACATTGGGGTATTGGTCCTTTCTTAATCCTAAACAAATGGCTTGAGCAGATGCAAGCTTCCAGCCCCATTCCCCTGAAACAAAACTCCTCTCACTCATTTTACAGTGAATGAGTGGAGGGGTAAAGGAGGCACTTAGGTATCACAGCACTTGGTAACAGGCACTCTGCAGTCGCTAGCAAGGCAACCACCTCTTCTCTAGATGCTGCACTACTGGCCAGACTTTGGGCTGCTTTGCTAAGATCACTTTCAGAACAGAGAAAACAAACAGCACCAGTTACGGAAGCCAAGACCAGCCTGTCTTAAAGCTGTTTGACACATACAAATCCCGTCGCTGCATCACTGCAACAGTAAGTCCCACTCGTGTCATCAGCCAACGCGCCTCTACGGGCTGTTCTACAGCCCACCCGGAGACGTCTGGCTTTAGGTGCTCCACGGCAACCCCGCGGAAAGGGGGGCCCGGCAGCGGGGCCCTGCCTGGAGGCTGCTGGGGTGGGAGCAATCCCCTGGGCATTCCCGGGGCTCCCATCCCGGGTGTCCCCGCACAGGCTCCGCAGGGCAAACCCCGCTTTCAGCGCCCCGAGGCCACCCGGGGATCTCCCCCGCCACATCCCAGCCTGTCCGGGGCGTCCCCGCCCGGCCCCGCAGCGGCCCCGGCTCCTCCATGGGCGAAACCCCCGGACCCTGCCCTGTCCTGCACTGACCCCGCCACGGGCCCGGCTCCCAGCGCGTCCCGACCCGGGCATCGCTGCCCCCCGCACGCACCACCCAGAGGGGCCGCGAGTGGTGATCGGCCTTCAGGGGCATCTGCAGCCGGTAGTCCTTGGCCCCGTACTCGTCCACCTTGGTGCCGCTCTCCTCCACCTGCTTGCCCGCCGCCGACGGCACAGCCTCCTGCGGCTCCTTCCCGGTACCTTCATCCTCCTCGTCTTCGTCATCGTCGTAATGGCGCTTCTTGGACTTCTTCTTATCTGGGAGCAGAGCGGGAGCTGTGACGAGCCCCCCTTAAGGGCCCCCCCCAAAAGGGTCCCCGCGCCCCCATCCCGGCCCGGCCCGGCCCCGCTCACCCCGCTCCTTCCTGCCCATGGCCGCCGCGCGCCGCGCTGCGCCCGCCCGCGCGTCACTTCCGCACGGCCCAGGGAGGGGCGGGGCGAGCCGCCATCGATTTTATGTTCCTGGGGCCGCCCCCGCCGCGGGGGGGACGCGCGGGGGCAGCCTCGGATCAGGGAAAGGTAAAAAAAATTAAATAATTAAGAATTAATAAATTAAATAGAGGCTTTCGCAAAGCGCATTGTGAATAACAATACAAAGGGCAACTCGAAATTGAGGTACGAGGGTGACATGGCGCAGTGTTCTGAAGTACCGAGTTCTTAAAAGAGAAATCACACTGTTGTCCCTACAGAGTGTTTTAATATATTTCTAAGTACAATTCGTGTCTGATTTTGGAAATACAAATACATTTCGAATGGTTAAAAACAAAAATTAAAAAAATATTTTGAACATCAGCCAGCTGAAAATATATTTATCTAGTAAATCATCTCTCAAAGCTTTTATATATTTAATTATTCTAACTAAACATAGTACCCTTAAAAAACAAGTTCATAAAAATGTAGAAATGAAACTGTGGAATAAGATTACTGGGATATATACACACACATTCAATGCATACACAGAATTACAAGGGGGTTTGTTTGTTCGTTTTTAAGTTTGGAAGGTTGTTAAGACAACGGAACTAGTAAGCAATGCCCAACTCCTGAGTTCCTCAATCATGATAACCATATGCTAATTGTTTAATTCTTTTTATCTTTTTTTTTTTTTTTTTTATACACAAGATATTCCATGTAAAGCAGCAACAGCAGTGCAGTTACTGGTATCAACATCTCAAAAGTAATAAAAAACCATACATCCAGACAGTAGTACATTGCACACACACGTGATTCTCATACACCCATTGACAATTGGTCAGAGTATTAAATCAGTGTACAAATTAAATATTTCCAAAAATGTGCAAAAAAGTCAATGTTGATAGAAAAAAACACCTTTGTGTACATACATTACAAACTGTGCCCAGCATTCAACTGAGAGTAAAAACATTTACAGTGAGAAACTGATAGATTAAATAGAGAATTTAATGGCTACATAAAAATGTACATTAGATCAAGAGTAAATTTACAAATTTTTATTCATAGCTTAATGAAAACTAAAAGCCTACGTTCCAATTAAACTAAGTCTCCTCCACATATTTACAGTGATACTCCATTTATACAACTTCTGTGAGGTCTGAGATGACAGACACTATAATAAACCATTCCAATTTTAAGATGACACCACCTTTTTTACGGGTATTAACAAGAAACAAACACTAGGGAACCAACAATCTAATGGCTGTTCAGAAAAGAAAATGCAATCCTTGTTTTTATATCACATTATATAAATCTCTGGGGAAAAGTATCAGCTAGTTCCAGGGTAAAAAGCACAAAAAAGCTCTATTTCCCATGATTATCCACCCTGGAGTTGGAGTATCCTTTTCCTTATCTCTCAGCAGAAGACCCTGACCTCCAGTCCTCATCTGTGGACTCAACATAAGGGCTGAACCATGAGATAGAACTTTTATCTGTTTTAATCCAGTTCCTCTCCCTTTAAAATAACTTTATGGAAACTAAGCCCTAGCCAAGGCATGGCTGCTTTGAAATGTGAGAATTTTTATTTCCTCTATCCCATCTATCCCTCAACTCCATGTGTGTATATATTGCTAGAGAAAACCCAAGGATTGCTCCAGGAAGCCGGGAGCTGCAGCGTCCTGGGTTCAAATTACAGGACCCCTGATCTAAAGCTGTACGTACACCTTATTTGGGAACTATTGGTGGCCACCACCTATGCAGTGTTTAAGCTCTGTCAGCTAGAAAGAAAAATAAATTGTGCAGGCCAAGTAGGGGAAATAAACAGAGAAAGGAGCTTCTTTGTTTCTGATCAAGGATTTTGATTCAGAAGTCCCGGGTTGGGAGAAATTCTGTCTGACCCTTTGGTGTGCATTAGTGGCTCCTCCTGAAGGCAGCACCAACACCCAGGTAGGTAACTGTGGGTGACATCTTACTGTCATGTCGAGAGGACTGACTGCTTCCCAACAGCTTTGGAATGTTCTCACTATGGCGCAAAAAGCAGGTCAGGTCACAAATCCATCTTCATGTCGTTCCTTAAATGTCCCAAAGCTCAAACCCGGCTATAGAAGTCACCAGGTTTAATCACCAAGCTTATGCATTAGTTTTAGAATCACAACAATAAGATTAAATTAGAAAGAGCTTTAAAAAGAAAACTCTTCCTTTTAATGCGGGCATGAATTTTGCATATCAGAACAGCAACTATGAACACCCATATGGATCTCTGAAACGTGGGCAGTGTCTATCACTTTTTACTAGTACCTGCTTTACTCAGTCAGCAACAGCCTACTGGTGGATATACACTACCTATAAGTGACAGTACTAATCCATGAAACATCACTTTTGGCTATATGTATACAGGATAGAAAAGCTTTGGTAATTATATGTGATTCTACACTGCAGACTTGTCATTGACACAAGACAGCAAGTTACCAGCAAGAAGAAATGACAACGGCAGTAATACTTTCGCTTTTCCAGAAACATCATAAGAACTTACATTCAAGCACACACATTATACTTTTCTATATGCATGACAAAGTCTTTCAAGATTAAAAAGTAAGAAATTGGTTATAAATAACTGTAGATCTGACCAATTTACTCAAGTCTCTGAAGCTGCAGTTAGACATCGCTCTATGTTGTCCAAAGAATGGCTTGCTGTACTGCACTGTACCTACAAGTGCTACGAGGCTTTCAGTCAAGACAACGGCAGGATTAGGATTATCCAAAAGGCACAGGAAAGAGTTTCATGGGCACCATGCTAATCTCACTGAGAAATCTGTTCGTTTGCGTGGACATACCATATTCCTGTGCACTGAAAGTAAACAGCCTTACAAAAGTACCAACTACAATTTCAAGCCCATTAAAAACTCCGCTGAAGAGTCTGGTACCCAGAGCCAGGAAGGCAAATCCTGACTCTTATTTCTGTGATTGCAGATAAGTCCTCTTTGTGGTATGTGCATCAGTCTACGGTCTCCAGAATGCAAATACAAAACCTGTGTTAACACAGGAAGCCAGAAATCACTTTAAAATTCTGAATTTAAATGTCTGCTGCACATTATAACTCAAGTACACTTTTCAATGCAGTTAGGCGAACTCTGGTTTGGGCACATCGAAAAAAACCCCATCCTCTAAGACTGCTTTGGTGACATGGAAGTGTATGACATATTTTGATAAGGTGTTCTAACATGAATAAAAATTAAGGCATACAGATAAAAAGGCACTAGCTAAAAAAACCTAAACTTTTCATTTTGCTATACTGAAAGGACTGTTTAGCTAAAAATCGCATTGAAAGTCAAGTTGCAGTTTTAAGACTATATTTAAATTGTCAAGAAAAAAAAAGACTATGCAGATTTAACTTTGAAATTATTAGATCCATACCTTTTTGAGTTCTGGTATGGATATTTCTATCACCCAAATTAAGAAGAAACAACTTGTTCTACCACAACACAACTGAAACTTTGAGTCACCCTCTAACAGGACTGTTAGTTACACCATTAAAACCACACCACAGAAGTAGCTTAAATTTTGTTACTTAATATGTGCAAGAGACAGCATATTAAAATGCATTAGCAGATAAGTAGGTCTTTTGAAAATATACATACTCACCATGAACATCGATCCTTATTTTTTGAGAACACAGCTTCATTGTGGTGTTACAGAAAAGCAAACCAACCCTGCAGGAGTACTGCTTTCATTGGCATTTTCTTGTAATTGAATTCAATAATTAGGACTAATTCATGATTCTGACATGCTGGTGGCTTTTAAAATGACATACAAGAATTTGTGAGCAGGGATCTTTACATCTCATTTACTTTAAGTTAAGCAACTAAAGTCAGTAGAGAAATTCTCCACAGAGTGAAAAAGACCTAGCTCAAGCCTAACCTTGAAGAAATTAATAAAATTTTACAGGAATCACTGGAACTGGGAAACGTCCACTTCATTTAAGCAGCACAGTCTTTGACATGTCAGAAAGCTGCCAATGCAAAGACACGATGAAAAATGCATTCTGAGAGTTCTTTTTTTCCTGGCTTGAAAATGCCGACCATTGTCATGACTGAATGCCATTTTTTAGAAAAGGCACAAAAGCAGCAAACTTGATTGTTCAGTAATTAAAAGTCACAATGAGGAAGTGATATTGCAATACACATGATCCAGCACTGTCTCACAGAAAGGACACATTATAAGAAAACTAGATTCTGAAAATTTTCAAGCTTCAGAGAGTGCAGTTTCTCTTTAGAATAGTATATCTAAATGTTATGAATGCTACAGATAAACCTGGTTACATTTTCCCTTTAATGTCCCTTTTTGGTAGTATAAAATTTCCTTACCTTTTCAGATATCACTGACCACTACTGATTTTTATATACATTTTCACCTTGAGTTTGGTACCTTCTTACTCTGTTTGAAATCAATCATTTCAACTATATGATCTTTAAATTATCTACATAAACTATTAGGTTCTACATTAAACTTCCCATCCCTACTGTCCTTATATTTTGCTTATAAAGCAAAGGTCCTGTAGAGCAGAGTATATACCAATACAAAAACTGCTTCACAGCTTTTATCTAGTGACTGAGAACCAAAAAAAGAAGTCAGCACAAGCTGACTTTCCTTTCAGCTTCCTACACTTTTCCTGATCTGACTAGTTCTTCCCATGCTCACGAAACTTTGCACAGTTGTGTACGCTGACCGAGAAAATTGTAAATTGGGTAAAATACTCACATAAGCTGAAGAAGTCACCACTCTGTCGCAGGAGAGATGGTCTCAAAAAAGTCATTCTTACTCTACTACAGGTAAAGTGATTAGGATAGATCCATACTCCTGCTCATGCTCTGGTACAAGATTTGGAATTTAGCAGAATAAATTCAGAAATCTCATAAATGACTATGGGAATGGGTAAACTTATTGTTTTATCTCCATGCACTTCGTCGCTCTGATAGTCCTCTAAAGATACAGAACAGGTAGAGCCTTGTCAGAGTGGACAAGGGTTACAGTACCAGCCCACTCTGCCTTTACAAAACAACAAAAGCAATCAAGGAATCATCCAAAACAATAAACATCATTTCAGTTCTGTAGTCCAATAGTTTATTTCCAAATGCCCCTTTAACTTATGTTCCGTTCTTCTACAAAAATATGAGAGCCTGACCTTTCTGTTGTGAAAAGTCAGTTATTCACTATACCTGATCAGTACCTGGGCTTCTTGACTGAGAAGCACTATTTCAGAGTTTTACTTCTGTTCTTTTACTATGCTCTTTCAGAAATAGAAAAAGTGATTAATGTACACTTTACGACAGCTGGAAATTTGACAAACACCAATCATCTGGATTCTCAGGCTGGAGTAATCACACTCATGTTATTTAACTGCTGGCTCTCTTTGCACTTGTGGCCTATTCTTCATACAGTTCTCTGTGCTGTGCCTCCTTGTTCATGAGGATTCATCAGTGCTACCTCATTAAAAATATAACTGGAGTCTTACCTTTCTCAGTGACTTATTCCTGACGTTCAAAGATGTTTAACTTTATTTCAGGAATTTTCAACACATCTAGATGACTGACCTGCGTTACGAAACCCATTTTTTTTAGTGCACAACGGGATTAATTTTTTATTATTTAGGCACTTGATGTTGACATACATTCCATCCTAGCGCCTCTTAACAGCTATGAAAACATTTCCTATAGCTCATTCTGAATCAAGTAATTCATATACTGCACAAGGATTCGTCCCTCTCTTTCCCCTCCAGCTATTCAAGGGATTGTGGAGGAGAAATGACCCTCAACATCACTACTTTTTATCAGCTAAGATAACCGTCTCCCTCTAAGCTTATGCAACAGAGGTTCTCTTTGGCAGATAGAACAGGAGGCATTCTCCTAACTATTTACATCCAATAGCTGACCCTTGTCTAGTAGGGAAATTTTCCCCTTGCAGTATAGTAGTACCTAGGAGTTTGGGCCCGTAATCTGTTTACCTGTAATTATTTTCCTATTAAGATAATACAATAATTCTACACCAAAACCTCTAACTAGTTTTGAGCTCATTTTTGTTATTTTCTTTTGGTCACATAGAAGTACCAGTTAGATATATACTGCTGTACAAAGAGTTCCAAGTTCTTCCAGCCTCGTCATTTAACTCTCAGAACTGCACATTCCAGCTTAAACTGTAAATTCCAGAAAGTGATTAAAACGCTAAAATACAGTAAGAACTTAGAACTCTCTGCTGCAAGTACCTACAACATAGAGAAGAATCATAGAGAAGTAATCTTCTTGTCCTTTAGCTGCATGTCTATTTTTCCCTGCACCCTGAGTCAGTCAGCGGTGTCAGAAAAAGTCACACAGTTCCTGACTGTCCAAGCATTTGTCATTTTTTTCCCCTTTAAATAAGGAACAAATATGTACTAAAGTGCTTTATCTACATCAACCACATCAGTACATTATAGAAACAAAAAGTTCTAGTCCTGGTGGGGTGGGAGGGGAGAGAAGATTCTCATTTTAGATACAAAATTTAGATTGTTTACAATCTAAGTGAAACAAAGATTCAAGAGAATATTCTCTCTCTTGTCTTTTTTTCTCCTTTTTCTTTGTAAAAAATAAAAATAAAAGTGCAGTCAAATAGAAAATAAATGCAGTAGATGCAAGCTGAGTTGAGGCAGGTGTTAGTGATAGTGTGCAAACGTGTGTCTTAGCAGTTCATCTGCAAACGGTCGCAGCTTGGCCTCAATAAAAATCCGTTTCAAGAAATCCCGAGCGTGGTCGGAGACGTGAGGTGGCAGCTGGGGGTTGGTTGGCTGAGTGGCAATTTTAAAGATGGCAGCCATGGCTTCGAACTCTGCCCACGGGGGCTTCTCCGTGAGCATTTCTACCACTGTGCAACCTACGCTCCTGAAACAGAGGCAGAAGTGAAACAGCCGGTTACAACAGTCATGCCCTTCTAAGAAAGCAAGAAATAGCAGAGAGGAACTAAAATACTACAAATAAGTAGTGTCCACTTAACACTACAGAGCAACTTCATCGGAAAACAGGCATTGAAAAAAAAATAGCACGTACTGCTATACCTTTGTCTCAAAGTTACACAAATCACTACCCACATCTCCACCTTTTTACTTCACTGGGCCAAAAGCCACTACACCTCAGTGAAGAGATAATTAGATATTTATCCAGGCAACACCAACTGCGTTAAGGCACTGCCAGCATTCAGTGCTCAGCAGGCTGACAAAGCCATGCATGCAGCACAGCACTTGGAAACTTTCCTGCTCCTTGAGGCCGAACAGAAATGCAAAGCATCAGGAATGCTCCGAGCACACTGAGTGTGTTGCCAGCTCATTAGAAATGCACCAGTTCTTACCAGTGAATAATGAGCAAACATAATATGGCAGTTGAAAACTTTGAACACCCTCCTTTGTGGTATCTTCCTCTTTTAGTCAAGGATACTAAAAATAAACTTAGGTTGCCAAACAAAATTTTAAGACTCTAATCAATCTTTGTATACAAACCTTATGTTTAAAGTATTTAGGAAAGCAGAAGGGCATATATATGGCCAGAGAAACTTTGTTCCAGAAGTCCTGAAAGACAGCCTCTTCCAATAACAAGTGAATGATACTGTAAAATGGATAGGCTGGAATAATTTCCAATTCTCAGGAAGTTTGATTGTTTTTCAAGATACTTACAAGAATTTTTTCTGTTAGACAGAGGTACGTTGCCTTATACGGTAAGGATTTACTGACTGACAGAAGTCAAACTTCAGTATTTTTTCTTAAGTTTTAACCCATATTTTTTTGACCAAAACACACACATTAACTTTGGCACAAACACTTCAAAGTTGAACTAGTCAACTGCTTGAAATCTGTTAAGGCTGGTCTATTATTCCAATACAGCAGAGTAATTACTAAGTGATCTGAACTAGCCTAATTTAATTTCCCTGAGGTTAAAAGTATTGCCATTGGTTGGATATAATGTGTTTCCTTTTTAAACAGTGTTACTACTCCTGCATGTGTACTGCTGCTGCCCACTACTCCATGTTCACAGACCACCAGCACTGCAAGGAGTCAAATCATTACAGTCATCTGTTCACTGGCCTGGAGTCATGTTAGATTGGCGTTACACAATGCTTTGCTACCATTCATGTTTGAAAATTACCTTTCCCTCTTAAGTATTTAATAAAAACTTAAACCAAATTTTTTTGATACTCCCACTTAAATCTGGTTAATTCACTCTTACATGTTCAACTTTTAAAGGAACAGCATATAATTTTCTGCCTTGCATCAAAGGTGGTGAAGTTTCATTAAACAACATTGACTGAACTGATGTTTCAAAGCTTCACATACTGTTTTCATCCAGTACCTCTCCAGAATTTACAATCAGTCTGGTAATCCTAACTTCATGCAAGGTCAGTTCAAAGGATTCTCTTATGATCTCTAAACTGATGGGCTGAGAAGTTGCCAGGTAAAAAATCCACAAATTTCAGTGTTAGGGTCTCTATTGTCAGAGCTCACCTTTACCATCTTCTTCAGCTTAAATCCCAGAATGAAACATTCCAACTTCAGAAAACAAACACCAACACTGTTGAAAATGAAATTACACTTTTCTGTAGTTTTTTTTTTAACATACCAGATGTCTGCTTTTCTGCCGTACCCTTCTCCACTAATAACTTCGGGACTCATCCAGTAGGGAGTTCCTGTGACAGACTTCATTCCTGTACCAGAGAGACAGATAGTCTGCAGTCGTTTGCTGGCACCAAAGTCACCAAGCTTCACATTGCCTGCTGAATCCCGCAGAATATTTGCTCCTGGAAGGAAGGGAACACAGCATTACACTCATGAAAGACTCAATGCTTTAGTATGGAAAACAGTTACACAAGTTTGGATTCAGTGATACAACACAACATCAGTCTAGGATTTCAAGCCAGAAAATTTACTTTCTCTGCTCATTTCTGTTAGTCTATTCTGCAGTTCAGAAAACAAGGAATTGTACATGCTGGTTTGCATCCTAGGTCTTTTCTGGGAAGAGGCAGTCACTTTGTAAAGGCCTCCTGGCAAAATAAGGAATGTGCCATACACAGTAAATAAAAAGAAATGAGAAAGGAGTTTCCACAGAACTGAAAATGTCTTCATACTACTATTAAAGCAAAATCTCAAACTGCGTTACAGATTTGTTCAAAACAGTTACTTGCACAAGCATGTACAAATTGACTGTGATATCTCAACCTCTTTTGGAGCAAAATACTATTGATATAAAGCAACAGGAGAATGGTAAAAATTTTACAGAATACAACAGTATTGTGTTCAATACACCTATTTTGCACATCACCGTCTTCCTACATATTCATACTTTGCTTATGCAACACTTGCAAGTCACCTGTATCTAGCTGCAAAAGATAAATGTTTCATCAGGTTTTCTGGCAGTAAAATGGAAGAAGTCTGAATCATTTGATCAGGTAAGTCACGTCTTCCAGTCACTTCCTGTACCAGTGAAGTGCTGGGTAATCTCTATACAACTGATGAAACAGAACTCTGCAAACATAAACCTTCCAGTCATGATGCTTTCCTCTCCACATTCTATTTCTAATGACATCATCCTCCAATGCATTTAAAACTATTGGTACTAAAATTAAATCAAAGAACTTTATCTTAATTGTTTTGCAGACAGAGACTACAGAAATATTGTCAAAAGTCTGCTAGAACATCACAAAGATGCTTATTTTTCCTCCCTCAGGTTACAACAATGGCAAGACTGAAAGATGGAAAGCAATCTCATTGATTTTAAGTCAGAATTTTGGCATTTCAAACTTAATTACATTTTGGCACTTCACATAAGACTGGAAAATGATCAGTAATAAAGAGCACTGAACTGTGCACAGAACTATCCTTACCTTTAATATCTCGATGGACAATCATATTACTGTGCAAATAGTGAACTCCTTCCAAAATCTGCCGCGTATATTTACGAGTCACATTCTCTGTGAGTGCTCCATACGATTTCAATTGGTCTTTGATGGAACCCTATGGCACACAAGAAGTATAAAACACTAACACACCTAGAGTCACAGGTGATCTAATAGTACAGTTGAACTTCAACTAAATTTATGCCCAAAACACAGATATTTAAAGTTACAATCATTCTCAATATCAACTTAAAAAGTACAGATATGGTTTTACCTCCACTGAGAAAAATATATACTTTGACCAAAGAGAGACTGGGTAGAGAAGTCATATACTGAAATATTAAACTATTAACTTTAAAACTGTTAGGCAGCTGAATAGTTCCAGTGCAATGTAGAGAAACAGAGAACAGCACTACTTTCACTCCAACACCACCCTCAACCTCTTTGGTGATTAAAAGGTGATGCTCAAGTTGGACACAATACATGCCCTTTACCTATGTTAGTTTATACTCTGAAAAAAACATTGTCAAGAAAAAAACACCATATGCTGGAGGATAGTGCTTTATGTAAAAATTAGGAGGTAAGTTTTCATACGAGCACATTTTATTTAACTCTGATGACCCCACTTGCTGAGAAAATGAAAATGTACCATTTTCTGACCTTATAATATCTCCTAACAAAGCAGCAGAAGAGCAGTTCAGCATGTATGTAGGTGCCACACAAAAAACAAGCACCAGGGTTATTTTCTGTATGCACTTATTCCCACCTTGATCTTAGCTACTTCTTGTTTTCCTGAAGCACAGCAAGACAAAACAGTAAAATTCAGGAAGATTCAAGAGTTTACTAATGATAGTATTGTCTTTTCAAAGATATTGCCAGGCACTCCTTATGCCAAAATCAAACACAGGGAGCTTTTGTACAAACCACTGTAATTCTGAAAACACAAGAAAGCAATGGAGAAGATGGGGGCTGTACAGCACTTGTCAGTAGCTGTCTCTGGCAACTGTTTTTAACTTGGACAATTTTAAATATCTGTGTGCACTTATGCAAAAACTGACTGCCTGGGTGCTCGTCACACTGCACACAAAGGATGGCTGAAGTAGCTGGGCTCTCCTGCTTACCCCAGGCATGTACTCCATGAATATTGAGAGTGTCCTTTCTGGTGGATCTCTCAAAAAGCCGTAATACTGAACGATCCTTTCATGCAGCAGATTTTTCAGCAACTGAATCTCACATTCAAGTGCATTTACTTCCTGGAAGGACAAAACAGACAAGATTTACCATGCTTGATGTGATAACGATAACGTTTTGGGTTTGGATTTTTTAAAGCAGGATAGTATATACATATTGAAGAGTTATGCAAACTAAGTAACAAAATGCTCCTGCAGCTTATGTAAAGTTTATCATTTTATAACAAGAAAATATCACTGTTAAATTGCAGTAAGTAAAAAAACCAAACTATGGCTTTTCTATAAAATTATCTTTGGGATGATTTTGCTGTTATTTCATTGTTTCTCTTATTTTGAAGTTATGTTTGTTTGTTCAGAGCACAGCAGATATCAATATGTGTGTGAGGTCAGTGATCATGTCATAAGCCTCCAACTGGATTAAAGAAAACAACAAAAAAAACAAAACACAGAAAAAAAAATCCCTTTAAATCTTTGTAGCGGAATAATTAGCATTAATTCTTAGCATTTCCAGGATGATAGACTATACTTTAAAAATGCCTTTGAGGACCACTTGAGGTTGTAATAATGAAACATAACAAAGCAAAACATTAACACAGCTGGTGCTTTCTCTAGAGCTATTTAAAATACTAAAATTTTGCAAACAGGAAGTAAGATATTTTGAAATGTACTGTAGAGTAAGATGCTGGGAAAACACTAACCCATGAATTCAGATTTGACTAGATTACAAATTTCACCTACAAGTTTTTCATCAAAACTTCATTTTTATCCATCACAGGCTGATACCCTTACACTTCTGAGGTTAGAAAGAAAACAGATTTTTTAGACACAGAGAGGTACATATTACAAAATGTTATGGCAAAGGAAATCACAAAACTGTTGCTACAGGAAAGATACTACTATATTTTATATTTAACAATTCCAAAGCATAATCAGCTGTTCTGTTACATTTTAAAGAAGTAGCAACAACAACTACACTAGAAATCTACAGCACAAGTGATTGTTGACTTTTTTCCTTGATCCTACATCACTAGTAGCAGCAACTATAACTGGCAGCCACTCAATTCTGCAATCATGCTTACAACCATTGTTTCCCCGGCCTTGCTCCCCACAGTGCAGAACGCAGTCCTAATGCAGGGAAAGTAATAATTCTCTTTCCATCCTGTAAAAAGCAGCAAGTACGGTTTGGGAAAAGAAGAAATAGAAGATTGATGCTACTTTTAAATAGTTTCTCTCCTACAGCGTCCAGTAATTAAAGATGGCTCCATTTTAGAGAGAGAAATAAACTGACAAGGAAACTTGTGTGGTTTAGAGAGAAATGCAGTGAGTAACAGCAGCTAGTCCTGATGAGCATAGTTTAAAGAAAGCAACACCAAAAAAAAAAAAAATTATCTGTTTCAGAGCACATTTCATAATAAAATGTTTAATTTTAGAGACAGAAACTGCACCAAATCTTTATGTATGTTCACTGCATAAGCAGATGCCTGAACCTTAAAAAATGGGACATAAAAGTCAGGTAAGCAGACTAATTATCTGTCATACGAACAAAACAGGTTTACAAACAAGGACATGAAAACACTACATGGTTTAAAACATGTTCAAAACATGTTCATCCTGTTCAAGGAAAGGAACATCAGTCTAGTTTAAAACAAACCACTTCAACAGAAGCCCTTTACAAGGTCTCCCTTTGGTATCACTTACCTTGCTGGTTTCTGGACTATCAGGATCAAACTGAACTTGTTTAACAGCCAGTTCTCTTCCAGTATCAGCATCATAACACAGATAGACTCTGCCAAACGCACCTTGACCCAGCAGTTTACCAAGTCTCCAGTTAGTTGGAGCTCGTGGTGCTGAAAATATAATATGTTTTGGTTTTCAAATGAGCTTGTTATTCAGCTGATCGAGAAAAACTGGAATACACAGAAAATAATTTTTTAAAAGACTACATTTCTCAACAACAGAGACTGTGCGCCTAAACCTCCCTGTATAAGTTACAAAGATCAATAAAACTTCTTGTAAGATGGAAAACTTGAGCTACTTAAATTTATTCATAAAATAACTTGTGGTAGAGATAGACATACTTAAAACAAGCAACAGCTAATCTGAAAAACAGAAAAGGCACATTAAACAAACTTAACTTTTGTTAAAAATCAAGGCATGATTAAAATATACCAGCTACTGAAGTCATCACAAGGTATATTTGCTCCTGATGTGCTACCACAGATATGAAATAGTACCACTTATGGTCTACAGTTTAACAGAAAACTTGACTAACATATGCAAAAATAAATAGTAACTGCAACCTACAAAACCCCCTCAGGTCCTCAGGAGTCTAATAAATAATTCAAAATATTTTTACAATGTTTTATTATCACAGATGTAAGTTCCATATAAAAATCTACATGAAGGTTGGCACAGTAAGCAATGAATATACTGATGAATATACTGATGAGGATTAAGTCTTGAATTTTTCCTACTTAGAGAGATAAAAGCACATTATTCAATTGCATGTATTTTGATAATATGCTTAGTTTTGACATGATATACTTGCAAGGTAAGAATTTTACAGCAGGGTTGACAAAATGCCTTCACTTACAGCGACTGGGTGGGCTGATGTCCATGACTGTCAAGGTAGGATTGTCTATGTCGCTTCCCCTCCTCCTCATTCGGTTATCTTCGTATTCCGGTGTAAAGACGCTGCTTCCGCTGCTCGTGCTCAGCGAGTGATCAGTGGGACTGAAACTAACTGGTGATCGGAAGCTGTTCCCCTGAGTCCTTCTGGCTCTTGGAAAAGTTTTACGACCTTCAATGATACACAAAGAACGCTAACGTCACTCTACAAAAAACCAGTGCTATGCAATGTGTGTATGCAAATAATTTATGAATTCTGCATCATCTAGTTCAAATCTGCCGCAGCATATGATAGGACACAATGATTGTGAAATTTGCTGGTTTAACTTTCCACCTAGAAGGAAATAAACATTCATCACAGATGTATGTAAGGATTAGACTGAATCAAAACACCCTGCCTCTGCTTTTATTGCTCTATTAATGTGTAAATATCAAATTTCTGATAAAAAGGAGAACAAGATACAAGTTTACAGTCCCACGTGCCCAGGCTGGCATCTTCATTCTGCAAACCAGTAAGAACTGAATGCAGAGAAAGACTGACACATGCAATCAACAGGAAGAGCACAAAACAAAACAAAAAAACCCAAACCAAAAACAAAGATACAAAAAGAAAACAAAACACAAGCAATGCCTAATTTGGAGGTGGTTGCAGCAATAGAATTAAAAAAAAAAAAAGGGCACTGATCTTCAAAATGTTAATTACAATTAGACGGCTAACGCAATTTATGTTAATCTATTTAGATAACACAACTATTTTTAGGACAGCATCAGTTGACGAAGTTTCATCCTACAGAACTCAGCAATAGCTGAAGGAGTCTTTAATTCATTAGGTATTACACTGGAGGAGGAGTTCCCAGAGGACTGAAGAAAGCAGATAAAATATCTTTGAAATAGTAGACTCAGACTTATATACTAGTCTGGACAATTTAAATTCCAAGAAAGGTATGCAAACAAGTTATTAAAATTGAGAAGATAAAAAGGTGATAAACCAGTCATAATTGGTTTGCCACATGTAGCTAATCTAATTTCCCCATTTCAACAGGACATTTTCATAAGCCAACTAATTAAGTGTTGCACAGACCAACTTACTACATAGAGTATACCCGAGACAGATTCAGAGCAGTTATCACTATTTCTCATCAAAGGGGAAGATAATTTTGTGGACATCCAGAGTAGTTTACCTTCAGTCCACTTCCATACACTATTTTAACTGATGATGTACATATGATGGAACATAATGTGCTGAAATATTGCAGATGACGTCATGTTAAATGTGGCTAAAAGTCCATTTAAAGATAAAAATCAAAATTGACAATGGCATTGGAAGTTGGAGATGAATCAGAAATCAACAAAATGAAATTCAGTACGGAAGTGCAACATATATACTTAAACAGAAATCTAATGCAGAAACTACAAAGTGTGTAATTATTGGTTGGCTAAAAGCAATGTAAAAAAGGATAAAGAAACTATAACAGATCACAGACTGAGCAGCAGTCAGAAGGGGGACCAGGAAAAAAGTGTCATTCTGCAATATATTGATGTGACTGCTACCTACTGAGTTCTGGCTATAGCATGTATTATACAGAAGCTGGCCATGAGAAAAGCCTCAGCTAGAGTAGAAGGAATGTAGATGTGGGTGTTATAATATGGTCAGTGACAAATTTTTAAGAGTGTTAAAATGTATTAACCAGTTACTAGCTTCATTTGCAGGAAAATGGTTTAGGAGACAGAGAAAGTTAAGTTATAAGATAAGCTATCTTGAAGTTGGTTACATAAAGAAAGTGAGTATCTCTTCTGTTAATGCCAATTTAGAGTTTACTTAAAAGTCAGTGTGACAGATCTTTGCCTCCTTAATCTTGCCTTAGAGCAAGGGACTGGACTGAAAATGCTTTGCAGTCCTTCAATTTGATATTTCTGTGATTTCTGTAACATAATTCCATTTATTGTTGTGTTCATTCTACACTGCAAATGAAACTATCTGGTCTTGGGAGAAATTTCTTCTTAACACTTCTCAACTACTGCTCAACACACCCAGAATTCTGAAAATCCTTCAACTGCTTCTCTTTCCTTCCTTTAGAAATTTAATGTGTTAAAACTGTATTAATCTTATTACTGTTCAAACCAGTATTGTACCTACATCAGCAGGTGCTGCCTTGCATTCCAAAAATTGATTTCATCAGCTATTTGTTAATTCACAGTTTAAATCACTGCTCTTTGATTTTATTTATTCTTTTAATCTAAGAAATTCCTAACAGGAATTCCACTGTATTTGAGATTTCTTAAAGCAGAACAAGAATTGACAAACTGACATACCTACTTCAGATAGAAAAGGGTCACAAAGGTCAAAAGCTTATACTGGATGACTTGTGCATGGCCAAAGATAGAGAACAGTTAAACAGCTGTGCATATGAGTCAGGAATTCTGTAATCCATAACTTTACCAGATGTAAAACTACTCAGCAGCTCTATCAAACATTCAAAGTTTAGCAAGTGAGTTTGGGGAAAGAATGTAAGGCTTCAATTTCTCCAATATTTTCATCCATTAAGATTTTTACAAACTATTTATTTTAACTCACATTTTAGGAAGAGAAAAACAGATTAATTAAACTGTTGCAGTACTCACACTTACCATCATTGTAATCTTGTTGATGATATGAAATGTGGTATCTTCGGGGATAAGTCCCTCCCTTTCCAAATTTCTCAAATATTGGGATATCATACTCTACTAGAAAATAAAAAGATAAAAAAAATTAAAATGTGACAAAAGCATATTAAACTCATCACTTTGGCTTTAAAAAATTAAACATGGGGGAACATATCAGAGGATATGCTTCAAGTTGAAACATCAGAGCAAAAACAGATTACAGAACAAAGCCACAAATCCATCAACCCACAAGAACTAAAAGGACATTCAAAAGTTCCAAGGATCAAGAATTCCACAGCTCAAGAGATTTGCTTAAAAGAAAGTCAGAGGACTACAGCAGGCATAATTACTTCAGTTTTAAAAGTAGTTTCTAGAGCAAAAACTACTCTAAAGAATATAATTTAAAGATGCATAAATATGAAAAGTTGATGAATGAGTCAACACAGCCTGAATTACTGAACTACAATCAATAGGTCTGATTTTAAAAATTATTAAAGGAGAAAAGTATTCACCAAATAAAGGAAAAAGTCCCTCATGCATAAATAATTGGTTAGAAGATAAGTACATAAGAAGGGAGGAAACAGTCAACAGTTTGACAGGAATCTGGGCTAAAACTCATGCAGTTTAATTATGTATGAATTCTCTGTACAGAATAATGAATAGCGAGGTGACAAAATGATTCTGAGAAATAAAGCCAACTGCAGAATTAGAGAAGGCCCTTAAGAATCTATGTGACTGGATGTCAAAGTGGCAAATGAAATTAAATGTAGGCTTGCATAAAGGTTTGTGATAGAGACTTCCAGTAAGCAGCAGCTGAACTCTATATTGGCTAGGAAGCAAATGAAATGCTGTAAATCATTAAGATACACTAAACAAAGTTTTGATTTATTCCTCCATAAAGAATGTAGGCCTCCATATACTAGAAAAGCAACAGCTCAAAGGGAGACAAAGAGGTCCATAAAAAAACCAAACCAAAACAATCCCCCTCCCCCCCAAAAAAACTCTAATGAAAAAAACACCTCCCAAAAACCGGAATCATGAAGTGCATACTTCTTCATAAAATACAATAAATTGCACAACTTCTTGTTGCAACAGACTGTTGATGCTGAAAAAGTTTATACAAGTTGAAATAGGGACAGGAAAACTTTGCAAAAGGAAAAAGATCCAGCGAATCACAGAAGAATATCTTGCATTTGCAGAACCCTAGAGCTATACACAACTAGGAATATATTCTGAGGGAGGAATACTACATGTTCCTCTGCAAAAGCCTGGTACTGGTTGTGGCAAGAGGAAAAACTAGGCCAGATGGACATTTTTTCTGCTTTTGTTACACATCAAATCATGAGAATAAATACTGAATATGGAATGAATGATTGCTGTCTATCCCACTGTTAACATACCAGAGCATCCCACAGGAAAAAAACTACAAACTCACAGAAAAAAAAATATTTCAAGATCATCCTACTAGTAAAGTAACCCTAATAAACACAAGTAAATTAGATTAAGATTACATGAAAGGCAAACTAATTTCTGACATTTCCAACTTCTTTGGTATTTACCTCTGCCACCTAAACGTTCCTTATACAAAGTTTTAGTCTTATTTTCATTTAAAAGTGGGGCAATCTGTTAAACACTCTAGAATCCTTAAAAGGGAAAACTCACCATTGCACAATTACCTAGACAAAGCTTCACAAACAAAATAAAAAGAAGCCTTAAAAGTATGTAATAGACCAAAAAAACACAACCCCCCTTTGATTTACTGGAAACTAATTATTGTTCAACAGTAAAATTCTGTAGTGAGACATGACCATGACAGACACTTCAGAGCACTTTCAAGGTTACCCACTGCACTTCACAGCCTGAACCCTGCACAGCAATTTGGATTCAAGCCAGAGTATGGTATGAAAAAAACATTAGCGCTGATGATTAATTTATAGGCACAGCACACAGTTCTCCTTCATCCTTTCACTTTGCAGTGCTTTGAACTACAGAAGTTATGAGCATTTCAAAGTGATCATTATTTCACACAGGAGAAAATGAAGGCCCCACATACTGGTTTTGGCTGGGAGAGAGTTAATTTTCTTCATAGTGCCTCCCGTGGTACTATGTTTTGGACCTGTGACCAAAACACCGTTGATAACAAAGGGATATTTTAGTTATTGCTGAAGCACATTTGCACATAATCAAGGAGTTATTTTGTTTCACACACTGCCCTGCCAGCTGGTAGAGTAGGCTAAGGGCGCAAGAAGTTGGGAAGGACACACCCGAGACAGCTGACCCCATATGACCCAAGGGATATCCCCTACTGTCTGAGGTTGTGCTCCACAGTAAAAGCTGGGAGAAACAAGGAAGAAGGGAAGACATTCAGAGTGATGGTGTTTGTCTTCCCAGGTAATCATTAGCTGTGATGGAGCCCTACTTTCCCAGAAATGGCTGAACACCTGCCTGTGGATGGGAAGTGGTGAATGAATTCCTTGTTTCGTTCTGCTTGCGTGCGCAGCTTTTGCTTTACCTCTTCAACTATCTTTATCTTAATTGACAAGTTTTCTCACTTTTACCCTTTGATTCTCTCCCCGATCCCACGCAGGGGAGTGAGTGGGCGACTGTGTGGGGCTTAACTGCCTACTGGGGTTAAACCACAGCACCCCAAAATGAAATAAATTAACACAGTTATATGCCAACTTAGAGATGAATGTTACAGTCCAGTTTAACCAACTGCTGTGTGCCCCTATGCACCGCAAGGTTTTTTCTTTTCACAGAAGCAGACAGTTACACTATGAACACTAACAGTGGCATCACACACAATAATCTGGAAGAAAACATTTAGAAATTCTTGTGTTCCCATGGTATCTTTTACTCTGTTCATTCGGATTAGATTTTGTTGCTTTGCCTTCTCCTACCACACTAAGTTTGTGTAATACAATAGCTCTCGATGTGAATGTACCTTCTCAGCCTTATTATTTGCTGCAAGAGGAACAGTTCTGGAAAGTTTGTATGTCCAGAGATTTGTACCTACCTGAGAATTCCTGATGATTATCTGGATAGCTCTGTGCTCTTGGCATCCGAGTTTTGGGATAGTTGTCCCTGGAAATGTAAAACATACAGAATCTAAAAACTGCTGTTAATCTACTGCTTCAACATCTAATATTACTGCCTCACAATTCCTTACAACCAATGAAAAGCTACCGCTATAGAAGAAGTTGCTGCACCAGTTTAAGTGGGTGGAACTCAATTCTGAAACTCAGATCTAGTAGGTATCTATAACAACTGAAGATCAGTAACAATGGAAAAGCTTATGGAGTTTAATGTAGTAAGAAAGCAACAGACTGTTAATGAGCGATAATATTAGTAAAAACATGAATTATCACAGGTAAAGCCACAAAGAAACACTGTTATGTTTAACATCTTTATGGCTAAACACAAAGGTTTACAGACTGGCAAAATCTGTTATATAGCCTACAAAAACTCTTTGGGAAATTTAACCAAAGAAATTGTAGAACCTTTTGATGAGAAAAATATTTCCTCTTCTCTCCATGAAAGTCATAGGATTAAGACAGTGATTTTGTTAAGTTATAGAATAATGAAGAATTTTTGGTTCTTACGTGATCACACTGTTTCTTACCTACAGTTGGTATGTAACTCCCAGCCACCAAAAGGAATGGATGGGATTGCCAGTCAGAGCAATCGATTACAGTATATTTCCATAAACATACCAAAACAATGTCCTCCTTTTTCTGGTAAGAATTTCTCTAATGGGTAACAGAAGCTAAATGGAGACACAAAACCTACGTCTTTGTAGGAAATATTTCAATGGGGAAAAAAAAAAAGGAAAACAAACTAAGTAGAGGTGACAAATTAAGTAAATAAAAAACAACCAAAAGAAGTTCTGAAGAAGAAATATGAGTTGTATTAAGATTGCTTTGTTTCCCCTTCTTCCACCTACCCTTACTCCACAAAAAACATAAAAATTTGGCAATTTGGTAGAATTTCTATTCTTTGGATCTACATTAAATATTGTGTGTTTATAACCTATCACACTACAACCACGAAATACTTTTCACATCTATTGTCTTCTTGCTTGTGAAATGAAGACTCATTATTTAACTCAAAAATGTGTATGTTAGACCAAATGTATTTGTGTACTCAAATCGCACCTTCTCATATGAGACAGTAATATGGAATATTATAGCTCTGATTTGATTGCCACAGGCAGTGATTTCCAATTCTTTACCTTTTTACTAATTAAATTAAATAGTGCTATTTGTATAGGAGTTCCAAATAAACAAGTAGCCAATCTGCACAACATTACACCCAAGGTTATTTTCCTGACCAACCATAAGGCAAACAGGAGTATGTTCTGCTTGGCTTCGCTGGTGGACAGTGACCCTCTCAAAACAGGAATCCCTTCAGAGGTCAACCCATTACAGACCTACAGACCTTCCCCAGTACGTGCTGCCTCTTGCTAAATGACGGGCTTTAACAAAGGAAAATATGTGGAAAGCCTGCAGTGGGAAAAAAGGGAGAGGAATGGACAGTGATCGCCTAGAAAAGGATAGGATTGTCTGTTGAGTCTTTAAATGATTCCATCGTCTTCTTGAAGTGGGTACCCTCTGCCTTGGCAAAGGAAAGCCTCCTTCATATGCCAGTGCCTTAGAACTGTAAATTTAATGGGGTGGCTCACTGCCAGGAAATATACTTCACACATATGTAAAACCTGGCAACATCTAGTAAAAGTCTTCAGTGCATTTCTGTAGGATGTGAAGTCTAATTTTTTTTTTTGTTTCAAACACAAATTACTTAAAAAAAATAAAGCTAATGTATTTTCCAAGTATTAGTAAGCAATTAAGTTTCAATAAGCTTTTATAAATGTTCTGTAACTTAGAGAGGGATTTCTGGAAGAAATTCTGTCACTAGAGAGTTGTTATACGTTACAACTGATAAATTATGCAATCTAATAAAGCTAAATAATGAATGTAAATAATTTTTACCCATCTAACGGGCTGTCAAGTGAGGGACAGCTTCCCGAGCCAGAGTTTTCAGGACTGCTTAAAGACAATGGATCCAGCATCTAATAAATAACAAACAGAGGAAGATCGACAAGTTCAAGTATGTTTTTTGAAATTTTTTAAAATACTTTAAGGTTTCTGCTTTGAAACAGCTAATGAAAAAATCCAAACCAGATAAGACCTGGTAAAAACAGAGTGGAAAGCTCATCTGTTGTCTTAAAACAAGCTCCCTCCTAAAATGAAGGGGTTTTTTGTATATTATGTAACATCTATTATTTCCTATGAACTGCACACTAGTCTTTTGCTGTAAATTAAACAGTTACCCCTCCAATTTTTATGGTCTGTGCTGCATTTTAAAGGTCCTTGGCATACACTTTGCCAAACACCAATCAAGGACTTATTAAAGAAATGTCTAGAAAGTGAGTTTGCACTCTGTGAGTCAAACACTTAAATAACTCTGTACTGGGGAGGACGACATTTTTAAGTTCAGGAGTTTTACTCCTCTTTTCTCATGCTGAACAGTGGGTCCTGAAAGGGATAAAAAGCCCACTTGCTGCCATAATAATTACTTCTATAACCTAATGCAGTATGGCCCAAATGGCAGCCCACTTTTACCCAACCCATCATCTCTTCTGCACAAGTGTGGGGTCTGCTGTCAGTGTGAATGGCTGTGCTCAGACAGATCAACAGCAGAGCAAAGCCCTCCACTCTCAAATTCCCTTCTTGTCTTTGTGAGGCAGGCTGTGACAGATAAAAGCAGCATGGTCAACACTTGCCAAGGTGATGTGGTACTTTAGTGGGGAGGGAGGAAACAGAATTTGTGAGTTCCTAACATCTGAAACTGGCCCTTGAGGCTGTTAAGGCTGAACTAACCTGGCTTCCCATTAAAGTAAAATTCATTAATTTAAACCTGCTGACAGCTTACACAGCAATGCGTACATGAGAGATTACATATTTCTTGAATACTCAGGAGTGAATGGACATCCCAGGCCTCAGGTGTTATCATCTGTCTGACCAGTCATGGTCAGACCAAAAATGACTTGGTCCACATCAAAAGTAATCATTTCACTCAATGAATCTAGACCTGCGATGGATCTGACCATGTGGTTATGATAAAGAATAGCACCCAGTTCTAGAAAATAGGAAATTCAGTCTCTATTCTCAGCTCAGTGATTAAAATTGTGCAACAAATTGCACAATCCCTTTGCCTCTGTTTTTATTCTATCATCTGTCTCTCATTTAGTCAGCTCATAAAAACCACTGCCTCTTGCCATTTGTAAATACAGTGCCAATGTCAACAACAACTTAAAGTGATTTGGGTATGCAGCATTATTTTTCTTTCCTCCTTAAAACATCTTTCTCCACTGCCAATTCTGTGAGCCATTACATTCCTGCTTCTTTTCCTGCTGTTTTTAAGGTCAATTTTGATATTCAGAGAGCAGGATTTTTAGTCTTGCTGAGTGTGCTGATATCCTGCACTAGTAATGCAGGCGAGTAAGAACAACAAAATAACATACATTTGTGAACTTTACACAAAAACCAAGTGACTTTGGAAAGTATTTCAGAGCTTACTTATGCCAGGCCCACTGCCATCCCCTTGCCTCTACCTCAACACAGTATCACAGAGAATCAGAGAACATTCTGAGTTGGAAGGGACCCACAAGGATCATTAAGTCCAATTCTTAAGCATCAGTTAAGTCCAAATAACTCTGACAAATCCAAACTCTTTCCTAAATTCTCCTTCAAATATCTGGAAAAGTGGTAAAACTGTCTTTCTTACATATCCTTCTCATTAAAATAAAGGGGTTTGTGCTTTCTAATGTAGACATTTCTGCTGTTACTTATATTTATCACTACCTCACTGAGCTATCATGGGAATTAAGAATACTATCTTTGTCCTTGTAGCAACATATTTAATAAATTGAAGAGACTTACAGAGAAAATAAACTGGGTTCTACAAAACTAAACAGCACAATTATTTAAACCTTCTCTCACCAATCATGTCTTCTAGAGTTAGCCTCTTTTTTTTTGCTGTTCTTTCAAACAATTCCATACCCTTAAGTAGTATTTCATAAAGCAACCTAACAAAAACTTTAATAAATCACACACCTACCTGATCCATACTTTCTGGAATGAATTCACCCTCACTGTTGATACTGGTGAAGGACCCATTTCGAGCCACCTGATGCAGCTCATCTGGAATGTATCCTGGGGGAGGTGAACTCCTATCACGAGTATTAGAACCTTGTGAAAGAAAAGGGCCAGTCAGAGTCTCTGCATTAACCCAGAATCCAGGGGTTTTACTCAAATGCTTCACAGGCACTGAGCCTGCCTGAATCACTTCTTCCTTTGGGCATTTCCCAAATGCCTGTGCAATGCAACACTTAAGTACAGCATTTAAAATCTGCAATCCAGGAACTATGAAAAATCTGGGGCAAAGTTGCCTCAATGGCATTAAAAGGAATTTTCATTATACAGGAACAGAAACCCAATTTGCTCACAGATCTAGTTGGGTAAATTTCTTCTTTTGAACAAAATCAAAATCCAAACCCTTCCACCTATGTCAACTAATCATTTCCAACTCTTGAGAATTTCAGTTTTTCTTTGTAGAATACTAAGTCTGTAAGAACATGAATACATATATTCATAATAAATGCATAATAATTAAATTGTCTGGAAAATTATTCATGAAACTTTCTAGTTTCATAATTAAATTATGAAGTTAACGTCACACCAATTTCAAAATATTAACAAGCAAAAACATTATCTCAATGCCTAAATAAGTATCTTACAAAAATGTTCACACATTAAAAAAATATGAGGGTCCTAAAGTGTGCAAGAAAACACGCTGCCATACAAACAGATTTTTCAGTAGCTCATTCCTGTATCTGAAAATAAAGGGGAGTACTAACATCAGCTTCTTAGGTTACCATCAGTTACCTCAAATAATTCTACATACATTTATTTACCTGTGGGGTTTTTGGGTAATTTTCTGTATTATATATATTTAAACCACTTTTGACTTAAATTCCAAATCTACTCCCCCAAGTGCAAATTCTACATTAGAGTCATTGATGAGTATGAGAAATTCAAATACTGTGTGTTGAGAGTAAAATCCTCATGAAGAAAATACCACAAAAGAAAACCTTTTACAATTAAAGCTATTGAAATATGCACCTTACCTATTACAGACAGTCGCCTTTTCCTGTCTGTCACACCGAACACTGTATTATCTAAATCTTCCAGTGAGGGCAAGGGTTCCATATTATTTACACTGGGTGACTGAAAATGCATAAATATTACAACCTGTCATTATTACTCTTCACAATGAAAAAACTTTGTAAGCTTTACAGGTTTTGTGCAGTACAGTTCTTTTTTCAAGCAGTCAAAAAAGCAGCTTGCCAATTTATATCATAATCCATCTATTTTAGTAGCTCATTCTTACTCTTTAAAAATAATTTTCAGTATGTACCAGTACACAAATCCTATGAATACCAATGCCATGGTTTGTTAGATAATACCAAAATACCTCAGCATTTAGTCTACAGTCCACTATTCTTTGCTACAACACTGAACTTCCCCCAAAGGAGTGTCACCAACGTGTGACTTAAAGAACAGTTTCAAATAACTACCGTTATTTAATTTTTATGTGCTTTTCAAATCTGTATCACTTTATCATCCTACTAAGGAACACTTTTCTACCACTGTAGGGAAGACAAGCAAAGAGAGGGACCTAAGAAAGAGTTAAAACTGAGTAAATACAAAATGCTAATGGATGTTTAAAGTGAAATCAAGAAGCAATCAGTATTATTTTTAATTGGAAAAATGCCATCTTTAAGAAAAGATACAAATTATACTTCAATATGAAAACTTGGGAAAAAGACATTTAGCATGTCAACTCATACCTGTGTATTTCCATGTATTACAAGCAATATCTTCAGACTCTTCATATGTACACTACGGTCAAGCAGTTCAACAGCTTTGTCCAGGTCATCCTGTGTGGTTAATGGAATTACAAGCTACGAAAGGGAGAGGAAAAAAAAAGTCTTAAACAGGATACAAGAAGGAAATGAGAAAGTCAAGTGCAGAGAAACAAATAAAGGGAATACTTTCTTTCATACCAAACAACTTAAAAATAAAATTTATTAAATGATCCCTTAAGTTAGCATCAAAATGTCTGAAGTTCAACCTTAACTCTTCCTTCAGATGTCTTCACTAATTACAGCAGGTGGAACAAGTCTTCATAATCAAAGAACAACCATTTTGCATATATGCAACTTAACATCCTACAAGTTTCAGAGAAACGGGTGCAACAGGGTCAATGTATTTACCATTGCCTAAATTATCACAAGTCTGTAAGATAAAGATAAGTCTTATTTTATAGAGCATAAAGCAGACTTTTCTATCTCAAATATTACAACTATACTTGTTTGAAACTGCATCACTAACAAAATTTCTCCATTGAAAAACAAAATTTGTCAAGAAAGTATATCCTTACTTCCTTAAGGAAGATGTGATCCACATCTAGTGCAACAACTCTAGTCCTCACTAGAATCTTACTTGGATCTAATTAATTAGAATTAACTTGGCATACATGTATCTTTAGAACAGAAAACGTTACACCAGTTAAGTGCTATTGAGATCTGAATTCTATAACGCATAAGATCAGGTTGTGTTTCAGGAGTGTACCTTACAACTTCTGCTTGTAACAAAGGAACAGCACAATACAGAGTTTTAAATCTATTCTACTTGTAAATAGAATCAGTCAGTAATGCTTAAATACACCACCAGTCAAAATACAGTAGTTTTATACAAAAAGAAATGGGATTGATGAAGAAGGTCTTGATAAAATGAAGAGTTTGTACATTTGTTAAGTTGCAGTTTTAATGTTAATGATACGTTATTACCATCCCATTTCTGAAAGGTGATGGGATGATTCGTCAACTAGTGCAGAAGTTGACAAGAAGAAAACCTACTCAAATGCCTAAGAATCTATCAGTGGAAGGAGCTGAGGCTAAAGCATTATGAAGGGCCATTGCTTCTGACCTTCCTAATCTCCAAAAGCCTTCTGTTGGAATTCTTCATTTTGAGGATCAGTTTCGCAGAAGTGCCTGGTAATGTTACCAACAAACAGCAATTACTGCCATTTTCTTCTGCAAAGATGCAGATTAGATACAGCAATTATGTTGTGCATAACCACAGGAATATTCCTTTATGAACTTTGCTGACTCATGGCAAAACCCAGAAGTAATTCATAAGAACGGATCCTGCATCTGTAAGTTTATTTGTTGTAATTCCATCTCTGCTTCTAAAGGAAAGCTGGAAGTAATACTGATCAAGCATAAGTGGCTTGACAGTGCTGGCACTGTTTCCAAGAAATCTTTGGGAACCAGCCACTTTAAGAGGAGTAACAGTTAAGCCTATTTCTCCAATCTAAACAGTAAATAAATGCAGCATTCTAGTAATTACCTAACAAGATTAATCCTTAAAGAAAGGAGTTTACAAGAAAGGATAAATGTTACTTCAAATTTACAAACACAACAAAGCTCAAAGAGGTAAAGACTTTCCCAAAGTCATGTAACAGGACTGTGGCAGATCAGAAGGACAATTTACCCATTCCTAACCAAGTCTGAGACATAATTCATTAGGATACTCATGAAACATTTCACATATTTCCTGTCTATCCTAATTTGGACAAGACTTACATATTTGAGAAAACACACACTAGAAACCTGGGGGTTTGTCACAGGAGTGAGTTTTGTCACAGGAGTGGTTCCCACTACTTAGGAGAGCAAATTTCAGCCTTAAAACAATCAATGTCCAAGGTAAGAATTCAGAGGACACAGAATATTACCTCATTATTGCTGTAATGTAAATCCATAGTCTGTCCAAAAGCAACTTTAGCTTTAGCTGCAAGATCTTCAAGTTTAACAGGCCTTGGTAATTGCAGGATCCTGAAAAACAATTTAAGTTTTAAAGAATTTTTGTCCATTACCTATGAAAATCTGGTAACTCATTACTTAAGAACTATCTTAGAAGTAAATTTATGACTAAAAAGATCATAAGAGTCTATGCTTTATTCACTGTCCTTCATATTTTGAGACTTTAAAAAAAAGAAAGAAAAGCAGTGAGAAAGTTAAAAGGGCTAATCAGGCACAGAATTAGATTTCATTGTGACTACTGTACTTGCTTCCATATGGCTTGCTTAATTCTCTGCAAGCCTCCATTTCAGAGGCAAATTCTTAGAAACTTCTAAAATTTTCTATTCCAGAAAACTAAGACAGTGCAGTACCACAGGCTGACAAGCATAAGCATCAGAAAGGAATTATTCCCTTTTTTGGAAATCTGAAAGACTATCTTACCTGAGGAAGGTAACTTAATGTCACCATCTTTACCATAATGAACTACACTCTCAAACTGCCCAGTCCATCACTAACTGTGCTTCAACTGTGCTCCTGTAAGAATGGTGCAGTTGTAGATCAACAATTCAGATTTTGTTTTAACTCAATGTCTCATCAAACCAGTTAGCCCAAACTGCCCTTTTACTACAGAAAACTACTGTATTTTTTGAAATACAACAGCATTAAACAAAAAAAGCATTTAAAAATGATTAGGCTATTGAGGTACTTCCAATTCACATTCAAAACAGAAAGAGCACTCAAATTCTGTAAAGTAGAAAAGTTAGCAAAGGGTAACTGTTCCTTACTTCAGTGATTCAGTTACTACTACACTGGTTAGGGGACAACTTGTCTCACTGAAATGAGGCTAGAAGCCAGGCCACTTCCAATTAAAAATTATTAAAAAAAAAAAAACCAAACTTAAAAAACCACCCAAAACAAACAAAAGCAACTAACACTAACTCTCACTGTAGTTAACAATTTGTGCAACAAGCTTACAACTCTACCCATCACACTGCCAGCTCCTTGGAACAAAGTGCCACATTCACCACTGAAAGCAAGTTTGAAATCACTTCTGGTTTTCACTTCTCTTTTTCAAAGCCAGTGAGAAAGCCATTGCATAGCTTATTTTTCCTGCATAATTTCACTACTTCATCTTTAGAGCTACATATTCAGGCAACAAAAGTATTATAACTCATGCTGAGCAATGAGCCAGGGTTGCTCAGAACCTCTGGGCAAGTAGGCTCAAGTCACTTGGGATGGTGCAGAACAGAGCTAGGCCCATCAGCATAAAAGCTTGGGAAAAGTATCTTTCCACACACTTATGTTATGCTTGTTAATCAATTCATATTGAATTGATTAACTCAGTCCACTGTGAAAGTGAATTATGATAAACTGCAAAATGCACTGTCCATGCAGACTGGCAGCAAGTAAACATCTCTCTGTTTTAAATTCATGCTTCCCCTTATTTCACAAGAAATAGTTAGGTAGAAGAGTCCTCAATTTTCAAAGCTTTCAAAAAGACTTATTTCCTCCAAATTACTTACAGCACTCAACCATTACTGATGCACTTTAATGTGTGATGTTCAGAGAAGTGACAGAAAGAAGCTGAGGAATGTTAATACTGAGGGAACTTACTGCTACTTTACTGCTCCATTTACAGAGAGGGCACACACTGTAATCAGCATGGACACACTCTACTGCACGTCACACCAAGGGCTGCCCAGAAGTAGTATAGGTTTCATTCTGAAGCAATTAAGAAATTTACAATTTCTACTGACAAACAGCATGACCAGGATATTATTTCCCTTTTCCTTAAGTATTTTCAAAGATCTTATTCTATAACCATTTCTCTGCAGGCAGAATGAAACTTTATGCTTTCAGAAAGAGATAGGCAGGCAAAATGAGTTGTCCACAACCAGTTCTGCATGGACTTGTGCACTGAATTCTGTAAAGGCTTTTAAGCAGGCATTAGAGCAGTGATATACACAGATTCTTGTATACTTTAGGCAGGTGCATCAGCCACCTCTCATAAAAAACATGAACATAAATTTTAACCGATTAAATGAAAATAACCTGAATGTAATAAATTTTCCACTTACAGTTCTCAGACTGGTACCTTCAAAGTACAATCCAATACTGAGATTTAAGATCTAGATCTCTTTCTCTGGGTGTTACAGTAACAATAAATTATCATGCATTTATTGCATGCACAATGAAGCAAAAAAATTTTTTTCTGGTCTATTCAAACTATTCTAATGATCTAAGTAATTGATCAAGGCTACAAACACGTATCTGAAGGGTAACCAAATGAAGGATGCTCCATAGGACATAGGTACAGTATGATACTTCCACATTTATGTATACTTAGAGCCCACATTTCAAACAGTTAATTCTCTTTAAATTATCTTCACATAAAAATTAAAGCTCAAACCAAATACACTTAGAGATCTGAAACACTTTGAAACTTCATGATAGAAGCACAACAAAACTCTATAAATAATTAAGAGACAAGGTTGTTTCCTTACCTTTTTTCACCTCGATGTTCAAATTTGACTCTAACATCATTCTGTACGAAAAGACATAAAGGAACCACTATTAGTTCTTTAACATCTCCTTTAATGAAAGCTATGAACTCCTATTCAATAATCCTACACCAGAACTAAATTCCATAATTATTTTCTGTCCTTTCCAGTACAACAAGTATCTAAACAAGCTACCTCTGCTGAAGTACCCGAAGAGGCTTAAAGTGTGTAAAAAATACAAAAACTTATTCTGAAGTACAATGAATGCTTCTGTAAGTAAACACATTATTTTCTATCAACTTATTTTAATATTATAACAGATTTATTATGACTTCAAATTCAGTGTGGAACTGGTTACCAAAAAGTTCAATATCCTGGACAGGCAGGTAGATATAGCTACCAAAAAGAGGTTTTTACATACACTTTGCAGCTGAGCATTCCAGGCTTAAGAAACATATCTTGTTTCATAAGCATTACCATAGAAACCCACACATGTAATTATGCCAAAAGTCATGCAATAAATTTCCCAATAACCATATCTGTATATATTTGCAGTAGAAATAAAATTTGCTTTTTGCAAAATAATAATTTTAAGAATCAAATTGTATTAGCACCTATTGCAGGAAAACCAAGAATGCATTATCCAAGTAACAACATTGCATTCTTCCAAAACAACTGATTATCAAATTATTACCTTCAAAATTCATAAACTGAAAGAGAAGGATAAACATTTTTTCTAACTTTCTAAACATGTATTATGCTCAAATCATTTTGGATCATAAATGTATTTTACCACAATGTCTAAAGTCACAGCTCAGACATGAGTTATATGACACCAGCAAAGCAGCACTGTGATATACACTGAACTCGTACAACTTTTAAAGCACACAATGAAAAAGATGCAGCCATTGGATTTTGACAGTTTAAAAGCCAAATATATAGGAATATATATTAAAAGGTTAAAATAAGCATGAACTGAAATTTCATTAAATATTGAACTGTAAATTAAGGATCCAATCAAATAAACATACAGTTAATTCAATTAGGGCAAAAGTCTTTGTCCTCTCCTAATCTCTCAGTATAGCAGTTCAAACCTATCAACTAAGTATTTACTACTTACTCCATTTCTGTTTAGTATCTAGAGAAAACAAATACAGCTGAAAAGAACTCACATTTCCAGCACATGAACAAGCAAGAAACCGAGGCCAAAGATGCAGTAAAACAGCTTAAGCATGTTCCTGCTGCTGTACTGACATTCTTTGGTATGGTACAGGTGACAACTGGACAATCTACTAAACATATAAAATTCTTTCTTGATATTTTAAAATAGCATAGTACCAATATAATAATAACAACAACTATAAAAACACTCTGCATGCAATGTCAAAATACCTCTATGATCTTCAATTTATCAGTACAAGAGTTATTTAGGCAGATACTATGATCTGCTCTCAAATGCCCCCATTTCATTTTGCTGCTAATACAAGAACATAAACAAAGAAAATGGCAGCACATGTGGGAGACTAACAGCTCATTCTGGTATGCTCACTGGTCTGGCAAGAAAAATAATTACAGAAGTCACAGCAGGACATTCCATGTTCAGTAGGTTAGTGAGGATATTAAAAATTACCTGTTTTTTAGGTGAAGATGACTTTGGTTTTCCTGTTTCTTGCTGGGGCAATACAGGACGACTGGCCTTATGAAGCACAGCCAAATCCTGCATGATTGAATTCAAAGCTTGCTGCTCATCTGCTCAGGGAAAAAGACCAGACGAGTATAAAAGACTGTTACATTTGAAGGGCATTACTATCTCATTTCACAATTAGGCAGGCATTATTCTAAAATCCAAAAGTTCTCATTACACTCCAATACATAATTGCCAAACTAAAAAAAACTGCTGCTGCGTTGCAAATGTTTTTATTTTATTTATCATTAACAGTGCTTAAGGAAATAAACAGCTTAATCAGTAACCACACTCAAATAGCAAGTTTAAAAAACTGAAGTCATAACAGAGACTTCAGCTCTACACAACTGCAGCCTGTACTAATAAAAGAAAGGGGGTGTAGGTGGAAAAGCCTTATCTACTTTGTTTCAAATAATATCCATGGCTGAGACATTTACTAGAAATTACATTTCCCGTCTCTCTCAGAAAATAAGAAAAAAACACAAGCACTTTTGAACCATTTTCCCTCTGTCCTGAACAGGTATGATCATGCCCATTGGAAGCATACACAAACTCCCAGAGGAACACCTCAACTGCTTCAGCATCTGCTGATAGCCCATGAAGTAATTAAAAGAAAAATTAAAACAAAAACCAACAATAAAAAAACACAACACATAAACCAAAAATAAAACACCACAGAACTTTTCCAGGACTGAAAATACAGAGGATCTTAGGGCTTAAAGGAAGAATTTATAAGGAGAAAAAGAAGCACTGAACCCAGGGGACAAGTCAGGGGCAGGAGTGCTACATAACTTAGGTTTCAATTTCACAAAAAACCCTAAATCCTGAAGATCTGCCGCAGCTGTGATGGCCTGAGGCCATGATAGGCAAGATTTGCTCTAGAAATTGGATGCTCCTTTAGATAGGAAAACACTTAGGAGCTCAAAAGCCTGTACATCCATCACTAAGAGAAATTTATTTCTAATGTTTTGTATTAATTCCTTGCCCGAGCAATAGTACCTGCACTCAGCATGCATCTGGAACACTGGATGACAAAATTTATCTACAAAGGTGTTGATTGTGGACCTTCATGCTCCTTCACAATGAAGGAACATTGCGAACAATTCAATATTTGTTGAAGAATTCACTGCTAAATGCTGTGATTTACAAAGAACCGTATTTCTCAAACAAGGACCTGAGAAAAGCTCCACATTAAAATCAGCAAGTAAGCATTCCAAGTGTTCAGCAACCATGAGAATTCCTTCACATTTTATTAAAATACAACCAAATATATCTATTATACAAGGAAATTGTGGGATTTAAGTGTTCTAATTTAATAGATTCCTAACAGATCAGAAAGCTGGTCTGAAAATGAGTACCTTTGATCATCACTCATGCTGTCATTATTCATAACTCTACTAAGATATGCAAATCTATAAAAGGAAGTTTTACTAGGAATATTTAATGGTATAACTGAAGGCGTTCTTGTAGCTCAGTTATTCTTTTCTCACACTAAAACACACTCCAAGATCTGCCAAAATTAAAGAAGTTACACTATTTTATTGTGTTATAGTCTATTCTAGTGCTCAGCAATGGTAAAAAATAAATTGATGTTTTAGCAGTTGATTGGAGGTTTCATTCCCAGTGGTCACTGTGTTGCATATTTCATGAAACCAAAGAACTGTGGTAAAGTGTTTAAAGTTTACTGAATATCCATCCTGACTCAACAGTCACTCCTCTCACACAAAATGTTGCAGAAGATCAGAAATCTGAAGAGTGCTGTATTCCCAGATTAGGCAACTTGATTATTGAGCATAAGGTCAGGAACATTAGTATAACAATAAAAGATGAACAAAGGCAATATGAAAATATGTGTGTTGTGGTTGGTTGGTTTGCTGGGATTTTTTTGAGAGGGAGCACCGATAAATGATTACAATAACAACGTGGTCAACTCATTAAAAAGCACGCACAGCTTGAAAATCTAAAATCTAAAGTAATACAAATGTGCCACATATTTAGAAAAACAGACCATCTACACAGTCCTGGCTTTGCATTGCAATGATACAAGGCAACAACATAAAATTCTTTAAAATAGACTTTGTGGTTTGGTTTTTTCCAACAGTCATTACCATTTAGAGCACAGTAAACACTGTTCAGTACTCTATTACCATCAATCTCAATTTCCTATATTTAAATCTTTAAGTTACCACATAATGAGGGAAAAAGTACTATATTACAAGGGAAAAAAAAAAAGAGAAATATTTTGAATACTGCAAAGCTCCTGAACACCGCCTTTTATACAGGTGCTCCACTGCGTTAAACAGCCAAAGCACACATTTCCTAGGAATTGTAGTAAATTAATGGTTTTAGTGCTCAATAGAAATGAAGAGTATCTCAACTAAATTTTTATGTATGTTACATGTAAAACTTACCCATTACAGCAACAAGTCTGAAAACTCAAACTTCAAGGAAAGGGTTGCTTCATTAGCATTGTTTTATTCCCTAAAAAGCAAAACGAAAAACCCCACAATTACTGAAGTTTTCAAAGCCATGTAAAACAGCCAACTCTTCATTGTTTATGGGCAGATTTTCTAATATTCTACATAGCAAATATGATTGCATAAGGCACATATACAATGTGTTGAGAAAACAGATACTGTCCCCAAAGCCTCACCAGCCTCTGAGCAATGTACATACTTTACGAAGACACAAAAGCCTGAACTAAATATTCTTCTAGACTTAAGCTGATTTTAGACTCTACCTATATCCTTAAATGATGATTAGTAGTTTAATTAACTATAACACTCTACTACGTGGGATACCCACTACTCCAGACTATTAAAAACTGATTCTTTTTCTACAGTTCCACATTGTATCTGGTGTGTAAAGTTCCATGTTCAGAACTACAGATATAAAAGGTCCATAATTTATAAATACATATCAGACTCACAGCACAAATCAAGAGTCATCAATACCTACTGATTATATAAACTAGAAAACTTTGTGTTATTTTTCACCATAATTCAAGATCATAACATAGATATCCTAACATTGCTGAAAGTAAATGGTTCTGGAAGACAGCAAGTATTAACTTTTAGTATACAATGTATGTTATCCAGAAAAGCAGAAACATAAGGAGGAGCACTTTTATGAAAAAAACCTGTCAGAATATCTTCAGAATTGGCCAACTGAAAAAAAAAAACCAATAATGAAGGACCAATTAAAATAATCTTTCTATGAGATGTCATTATGGAGGTTAACAGCAAAAACGGAAAGACATATCCCCAAACAAACAATGAGATTTGCTGCAGTACAGGCTACCACAGGAAAAATTCTGATTTTCTTAATGCAAGAGAAGAAAATTCTAATTTCTTAAGCACTCACTGTAACTAAGTAGGGAAGGCCCATGTCCCTCCTCCCCTTTGTTGACTGCAGTGGACCATCCTTCCTTGTGACTCAAGAGAAAAAATATTTACCTTACTCTGATAAAACCAAATTATTTCCCTGCTAGTTCATTCAAGGAGCTACACTAATAGAATATGACTCCTTTTTTTCCCCTTCTTTAATCAAAATTTGCTTTCCTTTGGTTTAGTTCCTTATGAGTGTCAAACGACCCCTGAGACCAGCACAGGGCAGCCTGTGGGAGCACATGGCTGAGAAGAGAGGGGAGGAGCTCTTTAAGCACCAGTCAGTCAGGTTTCCTTGCTTGAATATTCTGCCAATTTTCTATCTAACAACAAATTAATTATAGTTGTTCAAAAGACTTCTGAGCATCTTCAGTTCAGCATCTAAGATTCTGGCATTGTCTCCTACATTGGACTTGAGAGTCATATGAAGGTCTCTCCTAAATAGTGCCTTTTACCTACATATCAGGTGAGTCACCTACTACTGTCTGTTTTAAGCTCTGTAATAGCTCAGGCTTTTAATGAAGACCCAGAGGTCCCACTATGTAATCAGAAATCAGTTTGGTTGAGAGAGCACACAAAAGAGCACATTCAAACTAAAATAAATCTGAAAATATGATGAATGTGCATTCAGAGTTACAAACTCCCAAGTCTATGGACAGCCTCAAAACAGTAACTGAATTGTGGAAAAGAAACTCCCATCTAATGCCTTGTAAAAAGTCTGTAAGAGTATGAGAACTAAACCTGGCCTGGGTGGCCCACAGCCTCTGCTTTTACTACTACATGGTCTCTGGCCCCTTGATGCCACGACAGCAGAAGACACAAAAATTCTGTTTAAAAAAAAAAAATGCATCAACCAACTAACCAAACAAATGCAAACCCCAAAGTAAAAACTAAAACTAAAAAGGAAAAAGCTTCTGTTGTACCCTCATAGAAAAGGAAACACACGAAGACACAAAAGCAGCAGATTTGTACTAATCTTCAGAGAGAAAAACGGGCTGAATTTTCAATTATTTGCTGAATGATAGTGCCCAATATCACTCAAAATAAGGAAAGCATCTTTGGACCTTGCACTCACATAAGATGGCAGAACTGGTTTACTTAGTGAACTGGGATTACCTTTATAGCCTTAAATATCACAACTAATATTTTTGCCTGATTCTTTGCACCCTTTGCATTCCTAAGAGTCAAAAAAGCAAACAGAACATACATGAAATTATTTTCGATGCTGTTTTTTGTATCAGCAGTTGTCTTGGGGGATCTCCCAAAGAATTACTCATTAAAGATGTTCATAAAACATCTTTTTAATTCAGTATTTGATTCAACTGTCTTTAAATGAGAGCTAACGTAATTTTCTTATGCCTGTTTTAATTATGTCTTAATACATTAAACATAAAAATATGTTTCATGACTTTGGATGAAATACTTCTGTAATACTTCCTTGAAAACACTTCAAAGAAATACAATGGTTCTGTGAGGCATTTTAAATCTTCTGCCACACCTGAAGAAAACCACACCAAGTTACATCTCCAAACAAAACCACTCCAGATGTTCTTTCTAAACCTAGCTGAAAAAAAATCAAAACAACTTAGAATCTTGAGATATTTGAGCTACAGGGCTCATATGGGGCTGAAGAAGAAACATTTTAAAAATATCTTCTCCAAGTTGCTCCAGCTACAAGAATTCATCCTTTATTATTTATGTGTCATCTCTCATAAAAGAACATAAGCTAATAAGTGAACATTCATTTATTTTCTCTTCCACTTCCTTCTTATTCCTTAAAAGAAAAAAAAAAAAAAACTTAGGAAAATTAAATTTCTCTGAGTAACTTGTATATGTCTTACTTTATCATCGCTTTTAACCAAAATTCTTTCTGTTCAAATATAAAATATCATTAATCACCAACTAAACAGCTTAACAGCCTTTCTGTTAGCATTTAGTGTTACTTCAAAAACAAGTAACAACAATAAAATTTCAATTAAAAACAGTACTCAGATCCAAATTTATGAATTCACCTTGTGAATTGAGAAAACACTTCTGTTTTTAACTGCTCATTTTCACAATGGGCTGTAACAACAGAGTGGTTGTGGAGAGTGAGCAAAAACAAGCTGACAAAACCCACCATTTTTTCAAACAGAAGTATATACATTCCGCAGAAAGGGAAAAAAGCATACCCTAATTCCATAGTTGCACAGTAGAGACAGCATAGTGCACACACACAAGAGTAAATTACAATGCAGGGCAAAAAAGGAAGTGAAACAAAAAACTGGAACTCAGAGAAAGACTCAGGAGAAGCAAAGGCTGCAAAACACAAAGAGCAGATGCAAAGGTGAATAAGATTATGTCAAGGTCTTGCAGAGAGACACAAGCAGCCTGAATTTGAATGTAATTAAAGAAAGGATAACAGAGAGTGAATTTCAAAAAGGTGTTTGCTACTCTTATCACATCATCAAAGAAGAATATCCTAGCAACAGCATTTTGGAAATAAGGGTGGAGAGACGCTGATTCATATTCATGATTCACTTCCCACCAGCCACCTTCCAGAGCCTGGAAGTCTTTCAGAATCTGAGAAAGCCAGCGAAGAAAGAAAATATCCAGGTGATTCTTGGAAACTGCTTTTAGCTTTCTCAATGCAAATGAAACAAAGCCTGAAGGCAAGCAAGTCATGCGACCGATAATGGAGCTGTTCAAACACCCCGTGCTAATTGCCCCTACCCGCTGCTGTAATAAACACAACACGGTGCCCTCTCGGGTACTGACAGATAAAAGTGTACAAGCACTGCCACAGATATTACATCGTCTCTCATGACTGACTTGGTCACATTCAAAAGCTTGTAGGCTAGGAAAAAAAGGCTTTAACCTCACATAGTAGAGGAAGTAACCAAGCAGGTGCAATATAGAGTGAATATTTATTGAGTGAGATAGAAAAGGTGTTGTAGTTCTGTGAAATATAAAGATACATGGTGTGCTGAAATGAAATGGCTCCTGCAGCATTCAACTTCACAAGAGAAGTACAATTTTTAAAGAGTAAAATTAGCTATGGCTACAACAAGTGCCATAAACTAATCATCTGAGAACACTACAGGCAGTATGAAACCACTTAAGAGCATAAGGCAGCTTTAATGCTGCTCATGTTACAAATCAAGAACAAAAGAAACAGTGAAGCCAGCAATCTAGCTTAGCCTGATTTTGTATGAATTTCAGACTTTATACAGTAATACTTTATCTACATATAAAGGTGCATTGCACCTTTGGAGTCCAAACCTGTTTTAACAATGGGGCAAGAATTTCAAAGATATCAATTTCCTACGATAAATTTTCTCTAAAATAAATGAGTGCAAGAATACATGGCTTCCAGTTCTTACACCAAAGCAAAATGATACTGTGCAAACTCAATAAGAAAGATGCATTGTAATTATTTCCATCACAGGTAAAGATTAAATCAGACTTCTACTATATTAGATACAAGCTAAGCAAGTTAAACCAAAACAAGAAGAAATCAAAGTCTGTGAGCATTGCTATTCAGACACACACTTCTCTATAAAAAACAGATGATGCAAAGAGCAAAGTAAAAATCAAGAGTGAGCATTCACAGGTAATTTTTCAGACTGTAGAATGGACAATCAGAATACAAAGTAAGACCATAAAAATTTATTTCATAGCCAGAAGAATGAGCCAGACAAAATGGTTTTACTCTAAAAATGTTATTCCTAAAGAATCAAATGCTTGGTCTCACACAACCAATCTCAAATAAATCACAGTAAGCAAGGCTGAAGTGATCACCTACTCAAATACACCTACTTAACCTTTAACCAAAATAATGTGCAGCACCGCTTGCCACAGGTTTTATTTAAAAACAAAACAAAACAGTGTCTGTTAACAAGACAAACAGAAACACCTAAATCTGAACTTTTGTAGTCTTTTTCATAGGTCAAAGCAACTGCTGGCATAAATGGCAATAATGGCACTACATAGTGTGACAAGCATAGAAGTCGGCATTGTTACAAGACATAGCAGATACCTAAAAAAAGGTAACTCCATAGAAATGAAGAAAAAGAAGAGGATTTTATATGGAAATACACACAAATGAACACTGGACAAAAAGTTGGTTTTTTCAAAGACTACGAAAGCAGCAGCAATATCATAAAATCATGAAGGACTGAGAAAACAGAAGCAAAGAGCAGTAACAAGAAAAAGTCGAAGAGTGACACATCAGATGTGAGATCAGCTTTAGAAAAACTTGGGTCTTTAGCATATTGTAATAATATATAGGAAAAGGTATCCACAGGAAAAGTAGGAAAAGGAGAAAAAGAATAAACCAACCCAAATCAAAAGCCAACAACAATGATAATTGATAAATTAAGGTAACATTTGGAAAACAAAATGAAAAATAAGACTCACTGGGTCTAATCTGGAACATTAGAAATAGAAGTTTATTTTTTAATTCACCCAGTAAAAAATATTATTCCTGTCACAGTACAGTGGGATCTTTTAAAATTAAAAGACACTGCAGGGGAATGAATGAATGAATGAATAGATGAATGAACGAATGAATGTTTCTTAGCCAGCAGGGAGGAATCTTCTCTATCACTAGCACGTCAGCAAGGGCATGAGCCACAGAGCAGTAATATTCTCCTCCTTAGCTCTTTCTCTGTCACGTAACCCCTTCTACTCTGAAGCACTTTCTTCCTCCTTCAATTTATCCCAATTTGGAGATGCATTGCACTGGATAGGACACACTGAGAAGGCCCACTCACTTGTGCTGTGCTAGGAGAGACTGGTAAAACCAGCAGAACCAACCAAGCTCTGTCGGTTGACAGCCCAGAGTAAGGAAGACACACAACCTAAAGCAGCGTCTCTTACAACCAGGGCAGTAATTCAGGATTAGTTACCTGTCCTGGACTCAGGTAACATCAGACAGAAATTGTATTCCCCTTTATTTTTACTTCATAGAATCATTATGTTGGAAAAGACCTCCAAGATTGAGTCCAACCTTTGACCAAACATCACCACATCAATGAACCCAGAGTACTAAGTGCCACATCCAGACGCTTCTTGAACACTTCTAGGGATGATGACTCCTCCACTTCCCTGGGCAGCTTAGTTCCAGTGCCTGACAACCGTCTCAGTGAATAAATTCTTTCTGATGTCCAATCTGAACCTCCTGGGAGCACAGTCGGTGGCCATTTCCTCTTGTGCCATTTCTGGTTTCCTGGGAGAAGAGGCCAACCCCCACCTTGCTACAGGAGCACCTCACTGTGTGATTTTCCGTAGTTGCCATCATTCAACAATTCCATCCTGAACCACTGAACTAAACCCTTCTACCACCAGAATGACTGTTTGACAAAATAAGCAACATAAACACATCAAATACTTTTTTACCGGAAGAACAATTCTGGCTTATTTCCTAGAAAAGTACTTGGACTTATTTTTAAAAATATTTTAAGCCTTGTTCTGATTGCATGTAGCTTAGTTGATATACTTCCAAATTTCACCCTGAATTTTCTCACTCTCTTATAATGAAACCAGTTCATTCAGCACCCTAAGCTATTTTAACCTGTTGTACAGAGGCCAAACAACCTTAAACACAGTAACATGAGCCAGCAACCTCTATGAGCATGATGGCCTTCATAAAATAATAGCAACCAACTCATTCAAAGTTAACACTTATTTTTTAATTACTAATGAAAATATATTAAGGGATAAAAAACTCTTCAGATACCTGTTTTTTTACTGAGTTTAGACTGAAAATAGCAAGTGGTGATAAAAAAACCAGGAAGAAATAGCCAGCATCCATTTTTTGTTCCAGTTTTGGAAAAAAAAATCAAGTGGTTGTGTCCAAACCACAGCAGCGTAACTGGAATAGAAATTTCACCACCCACAAGAAAAAAAAGATACAATGCAGAATGTAATATGCTTCAGATCAAACATTTAAAATTCACAATCCAGGGACTTATAAAAGTCCAACTAACACTCTTCACAAACTCAGTGGTTCAGTTTTCTAGATCATTCTTGCAAATATTTCTAAATATTTGGAAAAGAAGATGATTCTGGTGGATTGTAAATATTATATAAGTAACTGAGAAGGATAAAGGAAAGGGTCCAAGAACTGCCAATTGTTTATCTTCACATCAATTGAAAGTAAAATATTGCAACACTTAGCTTGGTTTCTACCACAGTATTAAATGCAAAAAACACAGTAAATCCCATGATTTCAAGGTTTATTATCATTGCCAAGCAAAACACGTCTTCTTGAAATGATTACAGATTAGTTAACAGAACTAACTACAGCAATCATCCTACTTAGGTTTTTCCAACATATT